CTAATCCTTAATCTGATACTTGGAAGTGGGGCATATATGTGTTGTGGGAGTGTCTTTGGGATGTAATTGGGTTGAGATGAGTGAATGAGGGTAGAGCGCCATGTTAGAAGTTGTGCCCTTATAAGATGAAGAGCCCAGAGCTAGATCTCTCTCTCCAGCACGTGAAAATACAGGAGCAAGGTGGCTCTCTGAAAGCCAGAAAGACGGCCCACACCAGAACTCAACTTTGCTGGCACACTGATCTCAGACTTCCAGCCTCCAGAAACGTGAGAAAGAAATGTTTGTTGTATAAGCTACTTGGCTGATGGTATTTTTGCTACATGAGCTTGAACTGAGGAGGGAGAATCAAGAAATCAGCCTTAGACAAAAACCTGAAATACCTTGCTAAAAATTCTTCAGTGCATTTTTCCTGAGCACCAGATACAACGCATGTTCTGCAGTGTAACATTTGAAGTCATTCAAAATTTATCCTAATTTACCTATACCTCCCCCTCCCACCTAAATTTGAATGTTTTACAAACACTCTCCCCCAAATGTTTGTACTCCCCATGCTTGTATTTATAATCTTCCCTCTGCAAGGACAAACCCTCCATACCAATATGCCTGAGGGAATTCTACTTATGGTTCCAGAATGCACTCCCTTATTAACCCCCATTGGATTAATGAACCCCCACTGGGGAGGCCTGGATAAGAGCAGCAGATAAAAGCTGGAGAGTTTTTCTGTATGCTGGGCACTATAATTCTGTTCTCATACATGTTTTTTAAAAATTATTTCAAGTGTATTTATTTTGAAAGGGAGAGCAAATGAGTGGGGGGAGGGCAGCGAGAGAAGGAGAGAGAGAATCCAAGCAGGCTCTGTACTGTCAGCACAGAGTCCCACATGGGGCTCAACCTCATGAACCAGGAGATCATGATCTGAGCCAAAATCGAGTTGGATGCTCAACCGACTGAGCCACCCAGGTGTCCCTGTTTTCATATATTCTGCGTGAGGTAGATACTGTTTCCATTTGAAAGTTTAGAAACTAAGGTTTAAGGAAATTGTGATTTACTCAGACAACAGAGACAATTGGTGGCAGAACTGGAGTTGAGCCCAGGAAAACTAGATTCTAAAACTTGTATTCATTTCATTACAGCATATGGCTTTCCAGGGAATCCATCATTCTTTCATAGGGAAGCACTTTCTTTTGTATTCCAATTATTTTTATCTTTCAGTACTCTTTGAGTTCCTTAAAAGCAGAGACTGTCTTGTTCATTTTTTCACTCCAATGACTATCAAGGAGAGTAAGAACTTAATATATATTGGTTGAAATTGAATGGGAACGGTTTATAAAATAGCTCTAGTGCTCAAAGAATTTCATATTAGATATTTTAAAGCTATGTCCAACCTACTTCCCCCAAAACAAGAGTTCCAAGTTTCCAAGCCGGACCTGCTCACTCTAACGCCAGGTAGAGTGCATGCCTATGATGCCTATGAAGCAGTTAGGGTAGCCACTTGATCTTCAAAGAAGGTGCCATCAGCCACAAAAACAACAACAACAAAAAAACAAAAACAAAAACAAAAAACAAAACAAAAAGCAACTCTTTCAGGATGGTGATAAGTTATCAGGAATGCAGAAAAAGGTGGAGTTCTTGAACAGTGTTCTTGTCCTACCTGCTTTCTGGCAAGAACACATAGACTTGGAGAAGAGCAAAGTAGGCTTTTCAGTATAATTCAGAGAATTTATTCCATTAATATTTATTGAGTGACCAATTACAACAGTGAACAAAACATACCGAGTGACTTCATTCACGGAGTTTCTATTCTAGTGGTAGGAAATAAAGGTGCAGTGCTTTGGAAAAAATAAAGCAGAATGAAGGGATGGTGTTGGGGGTGTGGGTGGGGGAACATACACCAGCCCTGAATGAAGTTCAAGGAAAAAGCACACAGACCGATGAGACTACGGTGTGGTGAGCAAGGGGGTAAGTGATAGGAAATCAAGTCAGAGAGCTAACAGAAGATGGGTAATCGGGGCCACCTCCAATGGACCATTTACGACTTTGGAAGTTATGAGTGATGGGGATTCAGTAGTTTTGGCTAGTGGAGGAACATGAATTGACTGCATCTTTGAAAGTAAAAGTGAGTGTCCTTGAGAGCTGACAGTAGTGGAATAAGACTGCAAAAGGGAAGGCCAGTGAGGTGATCGTGGTCTGTGAATAATGGTGGCAGGCTATGGTTACTGGGAAAAGTGGTGAGAGGTCATATTCTGGATTATTTGGAAGCTCCAGGCAACAAGATTTTCTGTGAATTGGAAACATGAGAACAGACGGAACCAAGGATGACAGCATGGTTTTCAGCTTGAGCAGCTGGGTGGATAGATGCACCATTTTGTGAGGAGGGGAACACTGGGGAGGAGCGTTAAGTGTATTGCAGAAATCCAGAGTTCTGTACAGAACACTTGTGAATTGTTAGGTAATCTAAATGACTGCAAAATAATCCCGAGGTCTGTAAATAGGACAGTTCAGACTGAGTGGTGAGCACGTGCATTCATTGCACCATTCTCTTTCATATTTTAAAATGTTTTCTATGAGAAATATTTTATAGTTCTAGTTAGACACATTAAGTACGAGAGGCTCATTAGACTTCATGTGGAGACGTTATGTGGATACACATACATGAACTGGAGTTCAGCAAAGAAACCAGGGCTAAAAATACATCAGAGTTATCAGCATATTTAAAGTCAGGGGATGGATGAGAATGTGTAGAGAGTGAGTAAAGACAGAAAACAGGTCCAGTACTAAGAAAACGAACTCCCCAACATTTAGAGATGGGAAAGAGAAGAATCTAGAAAGGCATGTTGCCAAGTTTTTGAAATGCGTATCCATTTACTAAAAAATATGTACCTTTGAATCAGCAATTCCATTCTAAGGATGTATAAGAAACAAACAGGACTAGAATACACAGACCACAGTACAGATTGATTACAATGTTCGTTAGGAAAACAAAAAGGTGGCAAGGTCAAACAACCTAGAAATCGAACAATAATGGGTTAGCTGAACACATTACACTACATTCAATGGTATAGTGAACAGCAATTTAAAGTGATGTAGGCATATTTTAGTGGCCTGCCTGTAAATTCTCCCACTGAGAAAAGCTGATCAAATAAAGCATTACAGTTTTACACTTTTCTGTTACACTGTAAATCCGTGTTTTGTGCTTTCCTTACCATCAAAAACCTGAAGTAGTGAATGTTATTGTCTTTGGTGGTAAAATTAGGTACTTTTCTTTCCACTGCACTTACTGGTTATCTATTTTGTAGTTTTTCTCACTAGGTATTATAAAAATATGCAAGTTTAATTTTTAATGCATTTTTAATTTTTTTTTAATTTTCTTTTTGAGAGAGAGAGAGAGAGAGAGCGCGCGCACATGAGCATGGGAGGGGCAGAGAGAGGGAGACACACAATCCGAAGCAGGCTCCAGGCTCTGAGCTGTCAGCACAGCCCTGACGCGGGGCTCAAACTCACCAACCGTGAGATCACGACCTGAGCCAAAGTCGGATGCTTAACCAACTGTATCACCCAGGTGCCCCAAGTTTAAATTTTTAATAAAGTTCATTCAATAATATGAAACACAAAGGACCTCAAATAGGAACCTGATTTGAATCAGTCAAAAATTATAGATATCATAGTATCTAATCTGATTGAAATAACTATTACAAATTGTCTCAAAATAAATACATCATAGGGGTGGCTCAGTTGGTTAAGCATCTGACTCTTGATTTCACCTGAGGTCATGATCTCGCAGTTCCTGAGTTGGAGCCCTGAATCGTGCTCTGTGCTGACAACGTGGAGCCTGTTTGGGATTCCCTCTCTCCTCCTCTCTGGCTCAAGCTCATGCTCTCTCTCAAAATCAATCAATCCATCAACCACCATAAATTTCAATAGCATATTAAATATTTTATTTAAATTAAGAAATAAAATTACATTTGTTCCACCATTTCAATAAAATCTAAAACTACATACAAATGATCTATACACAGTTCCTTGGGTTCCATATTTTAAGTATTTCAGAGGTGTCATGAAAATATATTTTTCATAATGAATACACTGTATTCCAAAATTTAGTATATAAATCCAGACATAATATATATTATACACACTGAATTTAAATAACCTAAGATAAAAATCATTTTAAATAGAGCAATTTACCTCTCTGTAATGAAAGTCCCAACACATAGGCTATTTTGACATGTGGGTTACATCTAGGCAAATCACTCTTTGTGAATACTATTCATCTTGGAGTAAAGTTCACATAAAAACATGGTCTTTGAAACATGCTCTATTTTAGAGAAACAATAAATGTGGGCCCAATACTTGCAAAATGGTAAGTTTCTTTTAATCAAACTGATCTAATTTTAAGTTTTTAGACCATCAAGTCTCATTCAATTTCCCCTAATTTACCTAGTTACATCAATAACACGTTTCATTTATGAGCTTGCCCTTAACCCTAAAAAACAAATTTGTTTACAACATTTCAAACTTAAAAGAATTTTAGTCTTCAATTTAAGATATATTTTTACAAATCTAACTACAACAATTCTTTCTTGCAATGCTTTATTATATAACAACTATTAAAATTTTTATTTGACTCCAGAAAATCCATTTAGATCAATGCTTTTAATGACTCTAAAAGCTTCTGAATGTATTTTATTAATATTGGAGTCAAAATTCTAGATTTCTATAGGGATATAATATCAACACTTCTTCTTTAAACTGTTTATTTCATCTCGGTTTTAAAAGTCATCAAATATTACACTGCTAAAAGATTTTTTTCTTTCTTGGCTTTGGGCTATTCAGGGTCTTACCTATCTCAAAACTTAAAAATATTGTTTTCCTATTCTAATAATACCATTTAAGCATAAATTTGAAGGGATAAAAACAAAATGTAGTTTAAAATTTTATCTTTACCACCTGTTATGACGTGTCCACCAGATCACAGGCTTTCCTCACTAGAAAAGCTAGCTTTAAACCAAATACTGATTTTCCTCCTGCAATTCACACTTGTCTATTGAATCAGTTACCCAATCTTGTTGCAGGATTTTAAATTTTCTCTTAAGAGTTCTTCGAAAAGCTTTCAAATCTGCAACACGACTATGATCCTCCCCAATGATTACATGAGACACTCCCTGAGCTAAACAAGAAACTACTTTTGCTCCATGAAATCGAAGTTCCAAAGCTGTAAAAGCTAACCTCGTCCCCTCGATTTTGGTACTCAGGTCATTAACAACAGCATACAAGTCCAAATAAATAATGTGGTGTCGAAACATACTGAGTGGGGAGTGGTCCCAGGAATATCGATATTCTAAATTAGCAATCATGGAAGCTGTTTCTCCAGGACTTTGTTCGCCGGAATTTTTAATTCCTGAGAACACTTCTTTCAGTTGGTTCAAATCTGTATCAACGAAATAACTATCACCATAACAATCATATTCACGGGCAAAATGCTGCTTCGTCGATGGGCACATATGAATCATAAAGCGAGGTTGCCACGGAACACAGCTTTTGGTCTTAAAACACTCTAACAGCCACTCAGGCTTGACAACATCATGTTCATTGGAAGAAATTATGTTTTTCACCCTGATGTTCTCGGACCCTGCAATCACACAGTAGGTGTCTGGGCCTGGATTTTGTACTATATAACCACCAAATTCCGCAAGTCTGTTCTCCAGATCGGGCTTTGGATGGCTATTTGTTCCACTCATAACACAAAACTCCACATCTTCAAATACATTAGAAACTTTGTTTACATTAGAAAGGTTAGGTGCTTTTAGGTGCTCAATGATTCCAACAACTTTCTTGATCCTTGGGGCAGCTTTCCGCCTCTTCTCTTGTGGTTCATCATCACCCCCGACATAAAGGTGTTTGGACGCAAGCTTTCCAGATGCTTTCCCTCGAAGTTGTTCTAAGTCATCTAGGGTGGTACATTCATACCACTCTTTGTCTTTTCTGATCTTTTCAATTCGGGGGAAACGCAAGGTGCAGCCAGTTTTATACATCTCACTGGGGACGATCTCTGTTGCTTTAATCTGAACGATGACAGAATGACAAGGCTCAATGTATACTTCTGGCTTCTCTGTTCCACATAAGATGCTACTTGGTGGAGCTTTTTTATGAAAAGGCTTCCAATGCTTGGCCAATTTCAAACCCAGATCATACAGTTCTTTCATGGTATAACCTGAACCAACACGACAGAGAGTGTGAAACATGGAGGGTTTTTCACCAGGAGGAGGTTTCTCTGCTACAGCACACAGAAAATGAGACATCATTCCGCCTCGCGAACCTTTACCCCAATAGCCCCCCACAATTAAGGTGTCCAGTTCATCCATCAACCCATCAACATACTCTGGTTTAATTTTTAACCATCCTTCACCTCTTTTGTCTGGCTTGTAAATGGATAGAGGGTGTTTGATCATGATTCCCTCTTCTCTTTTGTCTATTGCTTCATTCAAAGCATCAATTACTTCTTTTTTCGTATGAGCTTGTGTTTTTTGCACTATGTCTATCCTACCTGGTATTGGTGTAAAAACACTAGTGAGAATGTCGTACCTCTTTTTCAGGGTCTCACGCCCTAGCTTTTTATTATTAACCATCAGTACGTCAAAAACACAGTAACAAGTTTGCAGATCGGAATCTTCCACCATTCTCTTGATATCGAACTTATTCCCCTTTTGCATAAAAGTTTGTGTATTAGGGTTGAAGGCCATCATCTCACCATCCAGGATACAGGTTTGCACATCTGTTTTGAATGCACTGTGAATGAATGGTGTAAGAGAGCCTTCCCGTGGAGAATCTCCAAACTGATCTGTATAGTTAAACCCGTTCCGGGAGAAGTACTGATACACATCCCCATCCTTGTGCATTTGCATACGCTCACCGTCTAGCTTGGTCTCAATGTAGAAACTCTGGTGTTTCATGTCCTTCTCAATTCTCTCAATATCTGCTATGGCAGCCAGCATTGGTTTAAAGGCAGAGAATAAAGTGATAGAAATATCAGTAAGTCCGACGGAAGGATCGTGCAGTTGCCTACAGACTTTTTCAAGATCCGTGGTGACATTATGCAACTCGGCAGCATCGTTGTGGAAAGCAGAAAATACAGATTGCTCACTAAAGCCAAGTTTCAAGTCCTTTACTATCATCCGTATAAGCCACTTTTGTTCCAGTGCCGAACTCTGACTTATAAGCTGAAGAAGACTCTTTTTTATTAGGTCCTTTCTTCTGGCAGAATTATTGCTGGCAATTGAGTCTAAAAGGTCATTTACTTGCTGTACTGTTAAACTTCCTTTCTGCAAACATCTTGGTTTCAACACGAAATACGCAATCATCGCAAAGTCTCCAGCATCTCCACGAGTTCCAGTGGGTGTCCTGTAATTTAAAAGCTTAAGGGCATCTTTTCCTTCTCTAGGTAAATTAAGCAATTCAATATAAAGTTTAGCAAGCATGGTTTCTTTGATTCCATAGGCCATTCTTTCTCTTTCGAGCTGAGGGAGAATAAGTCTCATTGCTGGATAAAAAGAGTCCCTGACATCTTTTTGGTTCTTATGAAGGGCATCATGAAATCTTCTCCAAGAATCTAAAAATTCCCTGAAGTGTCTGATTTTTTCTGCCCGTCCTTTACTTTTCTGTATTCGTTCTAAAGTTGAACATAAATCTGCAAAAGGAACGTGAGACGCAACAGTTTGTGAAGTCTGTGGGGTAGCCATAGACGCGATGCGGAATCCTCTGGTTTAGCTAATAAGGAAAAAAGAAGAACTTTAAGTCAAAGATAAACTTCAACTGAATATTTAACGTAAAGACTTCACAGACAGTGCTTCGTTCGTGATAAAAGATTTATCAACATTTGCAAAATGAAAGTGAATCAATGCTTATAAATTCTGTCCCTTTTCCACCTCTACATTTAATGAAAATCAACTATTTTACTTCAATTCTATTCCGTATTTATTACTAAAAGTATCAGCAGCTCCACTCACTACATTAGCAATATTGAAATCGACTACCTCGTCTTTCTCTGTAAACTCCAACTTCTATTGAATTAACTATTCCGTTCCTTATTCAGTGCATGATGCAAAAGAATAACAACAGAAAAAGAAGGCTCAATGCATTTCATTTCTGGCCTTCTGAGGTAAGGCCTTTCCTTTTACTTCTCCTCTTTTTTCTGTCAGACTACCACACAGCCTCAGAAACAGATGTTTCTAACAAACCACCAGCTCATGGAATTGAATTTGGCTTTGCAGGAAGTTTGGACTCCTACACAGATAGGAGTTCACCACAAAAAAAAAAAAAAGCCCAAAAAACAAACAAACAACCCCCCCCCCCCAAAACAGCTACTTTCTTCTTTAGGCCAAACAAAGCCTATGTCTGTCTGTGTTCACTTTCACATCACCACTAGCTTTACCCAATCATTCCAATCAATATTCAAAACCCAACTCAAAATAACTTCCACCTGAAATCCTTACTTGACTTACCTCTTCTAACTATTTTGTCTAACTGTTTACAGCTTCATAAGTTTAAATTCAGTAGTACATTTTTTGGGTTCATATTCTCATCTCATGCCTGTTACCCCTAACAATTCACCGACCACATATCCACCAGGCACCGTGCTATGTTTCTGCTTTAAGAGAGCATATGTTCTGTAAAGAAAAAGGGGGTATGATGGAACTAATTACAAAATGCTAAGTGCTGCAACAAAAGTAAATTGTCACGAGACAGTTGTCCACTGAAGTATCTTCTAAAGTCAGAGGAAATAATGAGTACCTTGCTGGGCTAGGGTCTAGACTATTTCCTAAAGTGGTCACCACAAGTGTGAAATTTCCTTAAAGTTTCAAATATTCATGCAAGTCCTATTAGAGTCTATAAGATATCAGAGCTACTATGTGATGTAAACCATAGAACACTAAAATCAACTAACTTTTCCAAAAAAGACTTCAAGAAGGGGCTCCTGGGTGGCTCAGTCAGCTGAGCATCCAACTCTTGGTTTCAGCTCAGGTCATGATCTCAGGGTCGTGAAACCCAGCCCCGTGTCGGGCTCCATCCTGAGCGTGGAGCCTGTTTAAGATTCTCTCTCCTTCTGCCTCTCTTCTGCACACACACGCACTCTCCAAAAAAACCAAAGACTTCACGTAAAATGTGTGTTCTGGGAATAAAAACCACGTTTTATCTTGTGGTTTCAGACACCTCCTGGTACATCCCCGTCAAGCCTCAGAGCAGCTGCACAGGGAGGAGGGAGCCCCGTAGCGGTCTCAGGGACGGTGAGATTTCCCCACAGCAGCAAACAAGCCACAGGCACCATCAGTACGAGGCTATGTTGCCTAACATCTGGCGTAAGAAATCACATGGCTGGTTATGGTACAGCCGTTACTACCCCACCAGTCTCCTGAGGTCAGGAGTTGTAATTTGTGTCAGTAGTGCCTGGCACTTAGTAGGTTTGTTTGCTGAACGAATTACTCAACATCTAGAGTGGAGTTCCTGGAAAAGCACACGAGAAAAGGCCAGGGGCTGATTGCATTCACTCCCCACTATGCCTGGTGGGATTCAGTCTGGTCAAAACCATTTAGCAGCTATGACTGCACAGGGCAAGTTCCACAACAGCCATTTGGTGGCCTTTAGGGGAAAAGGCTCCACTTCTCAGTCGAATTCCTAACAAAGGAAACTCAACTTCTGTTGGGTCAGTTAAGACCAAGAAATAAACCCATGAGAGACAACTTTCCTGAGACTTTTGTCTTTGACTACAGTAACTGTTTCCTCTTGAGGTGTCTTATCAGCGTAACGGACTGAACCACCTGCTTATGTTTACTGTCTTACTTTGCAAAACATGCCCCCTTAAGTCAGTATGCTGTGGTATATAATGTTATATTTACAACCCATATATGATGTATAAAAAATGAAGAATGTTGAGAAATTCTTCTTTGAATGTACAAGGTGGGAATACAGTTTCCGATCTATCTGAATATTCTACTTGGTCTCAGTTTCCTTCAACAAGTTCCAGGCAAAGACTCAAATTACTTTATAACAACACTGAAATCTAGGTAATGGGGTGGACACCCATGTATGCCAAAACTGCTATAAATACAACAAGGATTCCAAAACTAGTAACAAATGAACAGGTTTAAATATTTTTACTCATTAAAATTGTACCACTGCTTTTACATGTTCCCTAATTTTATCTTCTGGATTCTGGGTTTGTTAGTTGATGTTTTTGACTTGTGGTTTGTGGTTAGGGTTCAGGCTCCAGAGTCCAATGTTAGTTCAATTCTAGACTCAAAACTTAACAGCTGTGTGACATGGGGAAACCACTTAATTTCCCTGAGAGTCCTTAAGTGAAAAATGGGGTTAATAACTGCAGATGGTAAGAGGAGGATGAGCTCAGATAATTTACATAAGGTGCTTAACACAGTAGTTGGTAGCTGGTAAATCCTTGATCAATTTTAGGACTATACTACTTGTTGACGCAAGTAACATTTAAAATATAAATATTATAAAATATTAAGGAAATAAGAGAGGGATATGCTTCGCTTTTTGATAAAGAATAAGCAACTTTCAAGAGAATGAATACAGATCATTGATATTACAATAATGACTCATCGTCCATTCAGCAACTGCCTATATTATCCTAAAGTGACACAATGAAACATACCAGCAAGGTTGCATTCAGTGAATATGATGCTTTAGTGCTATTTTACTGCAGAGAAAGTGACTGGTACAATTTAAGTTTCCTTCCTGCAGCCCCTTCAAGAAGATGCGCTTCCCTGTGAGACAGGGGGTTTACAGCAGCCTTTATACACTTGTGATATTTGGGGAGACTCTAACCGGAGAGAAACCTGTGATAGGAAAAAGCCAGAAAGCTGTGGGAGCCAGGAGGTTGACAGAAGACGAAAAGTAAGAAGAGAAATAAGGTGGTTCCCTCTAAGGATACTGTATCTCTCTCCAACTGCACCGGGACAGGCCTGCAAAATCTCTGGAGGGGTCCACACCACTCCCCCAAACCCGCAAATAAAACCCGCAACGGATCCGGGGTGAACTCGCCCCGGCTTGGGGAGAGGGGGTCCCCAGAACCAGACAGTCCGCAAACACAGCATCACAGCAGCCAGCTGCGTTCCCGAGAGGCAGGCCCCTCGCCCCCGCATCCCAAGGGTGCGGGTCCAGACCCAGAACCCCGAACCAAAGACCCGGCTTCCACCGCAGCGCCGTCGCCAGGGCGGCCCGCGACCCTCACCTGCGACTCCGGCCGGGGCGAATGGGCCGAAAGACTTCCTGTCCCGAAACAAGAAAAAAACTTTAAAGACTATAAGCAATCGGTAGGCCGAAAAGACGCGGGGTGGTCCCCTCCGGCTTGGGTCACCCCAGCCCAGGGTCTGTCTGCCAAACGTACCCCAACCCCGTTCGCTCCGGGGACTCCGAGCCCCCTCCCGGGCCGCGCAGCCGCACAAACACCCCACAGGACGCGAAGCCCCAGGTGCGTTCTCCAAACCGGAAGCCGCAGCCCAGGGAGCCGGTTCCACCAGCTGTTCCTGGCGCAGACGCAATCTCCACTTAAGGCCGGGGAGGCCCTGACATCATGAAGATGCTTGCGCAGGCGCAGTCGCAGTCGCATCTGCAGGCGTTGAGGGCACAGGGATGATGTGCGCACGCGCAGTGACGTTCAGGTTGGGCACTGGTCCGCCTTGCATGGCTGAGGAGGACTCCAGGGAGCCTGGTGGCAGCGTGACCACAAATACAACTCCTGTTAGCCTCCCAAAGCAGCAGGTGCTCTTTGCCAGTGTTTCACCCATGAGAGTGGATTTTGTCTGAGCGAGGATTTTGTCTCCCAAGAGCACTTTGTGCACTGGCTCCTTCCTTGGAATGTGAACCTGGGTCTTCCCTGGCCTTGGTCTGCACACTAGCAAGTGACAGCCTCGTAGAGTTCTGTTTGCTGTTATGTAAACTGTGCCAATACTCATCTCATTGGCTGCTTGTGAAAGTGCCCATAATTGAAAAGGGCATCTTGCCTCCCCAAACATCAGACGTTTCATTTAAATGGAAAAATAGGCTTGTCCAAAATTGCTTAAGGCTGTCCTTTCCTATTTGTTTCTCATGATGGTACAGCTTGGATGTGAGTTCTTGTCTCCTAATACAGAAATAACACATAATTCATAAAAATACATAATATACAATTCATAATACAGACATAAAGAGTTGCATGCCTGGAAATCAACTATGGATTCTTCTAGTGTCTGTCCAAGGAGTCAAAACAAAATTATTTGGCAAATCTTCACTGAGCACCAACCATGATATAGTAATTTGCTAGGCATTCAAGATTGAGATAAAAACAAACTCAGTCCTTATGTTCCAGGAACTGTTGATTTCTACTAATATTTTGTTTTGATTTGTCTTCTTTCATGGAGAACTGAAAAATTATCCATGACGGTGGAAACACCTTTGAGAGTTATTTCCTCTTGCCATAAAATACTGTTGCTTTAAGGGGTGATATTTTAAGAAAGTGATATTTTGCTGCAACAGTCTCTGAGAACATTTTAGAGCTACTAAGTGCCCTTTGGGGTTGTCTAATGTTCAAAAATCTCATTTTACAAAACTGTCACTTATTTAATTCACAGCATTCGTTTGTAGCAGAGCTAGACTTAGCCCAACAACATTCAATTAATTTCCTTTTATGTCGAATGCACCTAAGTTATCCAAATATTTCTCTGAAATCAGCTATGAAGTTTAC